AAAGAAAATACAGTGATCCAAGGTTCAGTGGAGTCAAGACTCAAATGTCAGGCAGAAATGTCACATAAAATTAGTCACCAATGGACATGGTCCACTACAGTATGTAGTTTGTGTGTTTTTCTGACTGCTCCAACAAGTTAACACAAACTTTAAATGACAGAAATAAATTTTCTTATGGTTCTAGCTGCCAAAATTAAAAAGCAAGGCAGCAACAAGAAAGCCACACTCCTTCTGTATATTTTAGTGATGAATCTTTTTATTTTAATATTATTTATTTATTTATTCATTTGAAAGAGAGGGAGAAGCAGGTGTGAGGAGGAAACAGATCTTCCATCCTCTGGTTCACTCCTCAGATGACTGCCAACAGGATGGGCTAAGCCAAAGACAAATGGCAGAAATGCCATCCTGCTCTCCCATATGAGTGGCAGTAGCCCAAGCACTGAGGCCATCTTAGATTGCCTTTTAGGCACATTGGCAAGGAGCTGGAGCTGAAGCAATATAGTCAGGACTTGAAATGGTGCTCCACTGTGAAATGCTGGCATCACAAGCAACACCATCACAAAGCTGGCCCCTGGTGGTACATTTTAACCCCTTCTGGTTTTCAATGGTTGTCAGTATTCCTTAAACTTGTGGTCACATCACTCTAATCTCTGCCTCTGTCTTCAAAGGGCTTTCTCCTCTGAGTCTGCACCTTCCCCTCATTTTGTCTCATAGAACACACTTGCTAGAGCAGTTGTTTGAAACAACAGCTGAAGTGCGATGCGGGGTAGCAACATTCCATATCAGAATGCCTGCATCTGTTTTCAGCCTTCAATCTGCATCCCAGCTTCCAGCTAATATTCACTCTAAGAGGCAGCAGGAGATGGTTCCCCACTAGTCATGTGGGAGACTGATTGCACATCAGAATCCTGGCTTTGGCCTGACCCAACAAAAAGTGTAGTAGACATTGAAAACCATGTCAATTAATTCTATAATGTTGTAAATTGTTTTTGAGGTTATGTTGGGGCTTTTAATTGATCGGGATGATATTCTGCCAGCTCTACCTTCAGACCAGAGATGGTCTCCCCAAGAAACCGTTGAATTTATCTGGACAATAAGATGCTAGACTCTATCCTTGGTATATGTTTGCAATTAAAAAATCTTGACTGAATTTAAACTATAATACTGCAACAAGGTGGAGGAATCCACCATGGGGGAAGGGCACGGGGAGGAGTTGGGGGAATCCCAGAGCCTATGAAACTGTGTCACATATGCAGTGTAATTAACAACAACAACAACAAAAAAGCATAGTAGACATTTGCAGTAAACTGGAGACGGAAAACTTCAGTCTCTCTCCATGCTTCTGTCTCCCTTCCTTCCTCCCTCCCTCTCCCACTCTCTCCATGCCACTCCCTCTTCCACTTCTTCCCTGCCACCCCATCCCCCACTCCTTCTGCCTCATTTGTTTTTATTTTACTGAAGGCTCTTGTCATTAAAAAATGACTTACTCAGATAATCCAGAATGATCATCATGAGATCTTTAATATTTACATGAATCTTTTTTTTTCAAATAAGGTGACATTCACAAATTTCACTGCCTATGATGTAGACATGTTTTGGGTGGGTAGGGGCACTATTCATCATAATATAACATTTATAAAGAGATTTACCATTTTGGTTTTTTAAGTATAAATTAACACATTTTTAAATGTGTATATAGAATATAGAAAAGTAAAAGTAAAACCTGTGCTTATTTATTTATCTGAAAGTCAAATCATCAGACAGAGAAGAGAGAAAGAGAGAGAGAGAGTCTTCCATATGTTGGCTCACTCCCCAAGAGCCATGTATGGCCCAGGTTAAATCCAGGAGCCAGGAAGCCCATCCTGGTTTCCCACATGGGTAGCAGGGGCCAAGCACATGTGCCATCACGTGCTGTCTTTCCAGGCACAGTATCAGGAGATATCTCTGAAGTAGAGCAACTAGGGCAAAAATCTGCAGTCTGCGACAGACAGACCCATTGTGCCACAGTGCCAGCCCCAAATCTATGCTTCATTCTGCAACCAAATCAATCACTACTATCAATTTGAGAAATACTATTCTAGACTTATGTGAATACATATGCTTGTGGCTGAGTTTCTATTATACTATATCTTTTTCCCACAAATATTAACATGTTGTGACTGCTCATGCCATTAAATCTTTTTCGTGTAATAAATGCATTAATATACTATCATAATATGTCCTCACGGATTAATGAACTTATTCTCTTCTTTTTGACATTTAGGCTATCTCTCATATTCCAGTGTCAGAAGCAGCCCTGAGATGAGAACATGTAGGCCAGGTTACTTAAACAAAGACAGCAGTTGTCTGACATAACAGGGTGTGCTCTAAATGATCTGAGCTTTACTTAAAGACATGTGCTGTGCTATACTGTAGCAAGCCTGAATTAGCTAACGATTTGGTCTGGAGCTGAGAATCACCTTACTATTCGTTCTCTTTCTACAAACTACGCCTCCTTTATTCAGCTTCATCTCCTGCCACTCACTGCCTTAATATTTTTAAGGTCAGGGGTAACACACTTGTTGCCTCTTCTTAAATCTTTTTCATATTTTATAAAATGCTTAGCATAATATCGAGCCAAGCATGCCTGCTTAACTTACTAAAATATAGCTTTTCATTTTTAAGCTCCATGATGCCACACAAGATAAATATTACTGAAAAAAAAACACCTATTGTAATTATTTTCTTCCACATATGCACTGAAAAAATATGTGTATCCAAACTACAATAAGTAGATGGCAGGAGCGGGATCATGGATAGACTGAATACAAAGAGTTCTCTATAACAGCTATTTGTACCCATGAGTATATAGGAAAGATCTGGTAGGGAAGCATATGATTGAACTATAACAAAGACAATGCAAACCCATCTAGAGGTCTCATAAGAAACATCCAGTTTGTTCATTAAAGAAAACTAGTACAAAAGTCCCGTTCTTATGCAGAGCCAACTTCTGAAATGATATAGGAATTGGAAAATTCTAGTCTACTTATATTTGTGACTTGCAGGATGGCTATCATAGAATATGATGCTTTCTCTCTTTTGGTTTCCTGTGTTATAAAAATGACCCCATGATGACAAAATGTCAATCTTGAGTTTATTTCTACATCTGACAGTATATAAAATTTCAAATATGTTGGAAATGCCATTTTCATCATTCATTCAGATTGGCTCTGGCAGTGATTCACCATACAAATTTTCATTGATCAAGTCCCAGCCGATAGGAATTGTAAAAAACTTCAGAAAGGCACATTCCAGCCCAAACAATTCATTAGTGGCATATTCAGTCATCTTGCAGGTTCATAGAGACATTATCTTTTTACGAAAGCCTCGAGGGACAGCATAAACATTCAGCCTTTGGATTAGCCAAGAATGTTCCAGAATGTCCCGGTCTATTTTAATTCATTCATCAAATATTCACTATGTCCACTATCAGTGATCTTGAAATCTTATAGCAAACATACGAATAAGACTATATAGTCTGCCATGTACAGTGAGAAAGATAAGACCATGAAGGTGGAGCAACCCCCTGGTTGAATCTCCCATCAGAATCTCATATCCAGGGTCTTTCCATTAATTGGATTGCTAGGTTAACTATTCAGGTCCTATATTCCTCCCAAACCAATGACAGAGTCATTTTTTTTTATTTTGTGTTTACTACATGCCACATATTTTAAAGATTGTTTATCTAACACCACATATTTTACATGCATTATCTCATGTAATCCTCACAATCATCACATGAGGCACAAATTCACTTAGATATGAATTTTATTCAAAGATAATTAAAATTACCCAAGAACCTAAACCCAGTTTAGCCTAACTTAAGAGCTCTCGTCCATTCCACCTCATTATACTGACTCAAATTTTAAAAATGAAGGTGGCTTATAGGGTTACAGAGTGATGAGTCAGAGAGAATAAGAAAGAGCCTTTGGACTTGATCATCAGGAAATCAGATTTGTGTCTACAGTACTAGTTTGTTACGGCTGCCATAACAAAGTACTATAACTTGGGTGGCTCAACACATTGACATTTGTTATATCACTGTCCTCTGGGCTTCGTGTGAGAGATGAAAGCATCAGCACAGTTTATTCCTTCTTGTGGCTGCAAAGGACAATCTGTTGTAGATCTCTTTCCTACATTCACTAGACTTGTGCATTTCATTAATTGTAGATGGCCTGTGTCTTCACATCATCTTTCTTTTGGACATATTCCCAAATTCCTCTTCAGTTTATATTATTTGTTTTTGTCTGTATTAGAAAGGCAGAAAGACAGAGAGTGAAAAAGAGCAGAAACAGACAAACAGAGCACTTTCATCCATTGGTTTCCTCCACAAATCTACATAGTATCCACCACTATGCCAATAGAAGACAGATCTGAGAACTCCATCCAGGCTTTTCACATGGATGCCAAGAACCCCAGTATGTGAACCATCATGCTCTGCCTCCCAAACACATTAGCAGGAAGCTAGGCTGGGAGCACAGCAGCCAGGACTTAAGCCAGGCACTCTAATGTGGGGTGTGGGTGTCCCCAGCAATGACTTAATTCAGTGTACCAAATGCCCACATTAAAAAAAAATCCATCTTTTTCTTCCTGTCTGGCTTGAAAGATGGCATCCCGCAAGGAAGGCACAGGCTCTAGTTCCACGTCTTCCAGCTCCACTGCTGGTGCAGGAGGGAAGGGCAGAGGTAAAGGCAGTTCTGGACACTTGGCCATGAAGCAAGTACAGATAGATAGATGGCTTGATGGTATTAAAAATCATCAAACATTATCAGGAAGGTCAAGGAACCAAGGTGGTTCAGGGAGTGTTTGGGGCCTGGTTGGAGAAGATCGGCTTGAAATCACCAATTGTTTTCCTTTTCCCCAACACAGGGAGGATGATTCGGAGTTTGATGAAGTTCAGTAGCAGATGGAAATTACGCAGAGCCTTCACCATGTAAACATTGATCACCTCCACGTGGGCTGGTACCAGTCCACGTACTAGGGCTCATTCGTCACTGGGACCGTCTTGGATTCTCAGTTCAGTTGCCAGCATGCCATAGAAGAATCTGTGGTTCTCATTTATGATCCCAAAATAAGGGCCCAAGGGTCTCTGTGACTCAAGGCAGACAGACTGACTCCTAAGCTGATGGAAGTTTGTAAAGAGAAGGATTTTTCCCCTAAATCATTGAAAAAGGCAATTATCACATTTGAGCACATGTTTGAAGAAGTGCTGATTGTAATTAAAAATTCACATCTGATCAATATCCTAATGTGGGAGCTTGAGAAGAGGTCGGCTATAGCAGAGAAGCATGAGCTGCTCAGTCTTGCCAGCAGCAATCACTTGGGAAAGAACCTACAGTTGCTGATGGACAGGGTGGATGAAATGAGCCAAAATATTGTTAAGTACAACACCTACACGAGGGATACAAGTAAACAGCAGCAGCAGAAGCATCAGTATCAGCAGCTGCGCCAGCAGGAGAACATGCAGCGGCAGAGTGGAGGGCAACCCCCTCTCCCGAAAGACTTGTTCAAGCTCTTCCCGCATCCCCAGCCACCCATGAGAATGGATTCACTGCTCATTGCAAGCCAGATTAACACTTATTGCCAGAACATCAAGGAGTTCACTGCCTAGAATTTGGGCAAACTCTTCCTAGCACAGGCTCTTCAAGAATACAAGTAAGCAAATGAAGTTTCCAGAAAACGAATTAACACAAACTCTTCAACAACCCTTGGAAGAAATATGCTTGCATATTCAGAAGCACAGAGAATTGCTCTAATGTTGCTTTTGCCAATACTGTCTTTGTAATTCAAAATGAAATAAAACACAATCTTGATTTCTTGTTTGAAAAAAATAATATTTCATCTGTGAAGGGAGAGTAGAATAGTGAGTGTAATTATGCCCCCAAATCTGTATAGTGAAACATGTGAATTTTTTTACTTTATCTAATTAAATGGATAGATAAATGAACAAGACCATCTTTGTCAGAATACCAAGCACACTGGATGACAGCCCATGATGTCATTTTAGCTTGATTACCTCTGTGAAGACCGTATTTCTAAATAAGGTCACAGGCTGAGATCCTGAAGCTTAGGACTTCAACATATCAATGGCTGGGGAGTGGAACACAGTTCGTCTCCTAACTCCCACTGAATGAGCACTTTGGGTTCAATATTAAACACAGAAGGCAAATGAAAAGGGATATGGCCTGACATGTTGTGAGAGAATGTAGCCATGTGAAGGAAAGGTACAGGAGAAGAGGAAGTCTGAAGGGAAAGGGGGGGGGGGCAGACAGAGCAAATAGGAAGAAGGTGGCTTGTCAGAAAGAAGAGAGGATGCCACTTTTTTAAAAAAAGAAAAAGAGAAAAACATCTACAAATTGATGTTTGCATGTATTACTGGAGATACCTTCATCACCTCATGCAAATCACGTCCCATATTCTCCAGAAGCATATTTTCTTTTAGAGCTTTCAACTGTAGGATCACAACTTGATAACATTGTTTTTGGCAACTATATAATTCTCGGATGGTATAACGTATCACAGATCTCCTCCCAGAGTTATTTCCAGAGAAACAATAGTTGAAGAAATAACTGAATAACTGAATGTATGGGTGTAAAGAGGAGATGGTGTCAAGTGAAAAAAAATAAACTAAAAAAAAATCTCTCTAGTTGAATACAGATGTAACACACAACTCAGAGCAGGTTGATGATAAGCAAGCCAAGGCAAACCTGTGGATATAGACCATAAGGGAGGAAGGAATCAGGGCATCAACAAAGCACACTTCGGTGCCAGAACCCAGAGAAGAGCCATATATTTTCAGCTGTTTACATTTCACCAGTTGGACATTCAGCGAGAACAACTACAGCATCCTTCAGTCTCATTTCCTTTGTCCTATAATGATAGGTTTCACCAAAAAGGGTATCTTACTGCCTAGAACTTCAGTATTTTTAACCCGGTAGTCAAAAATCCAAAACTTCTAGACAAGAAGAACGTTCTGCACCAGGATACAAAATAGGAAGTGATGGCAAGGGACATTTGGGTGGAGTGACCCTATCAGGCACCAGGGCCCTAGCTGCTCTGCCAGTGCTGCGTGCAGTTGCTTCTGGTGCAGCTGATCTGAGCACTTGCTAGAGTGTAGCACTTGCCAATACATCATGTTCACTTTGGCAGATTAAGAGAGCTCATTCAGGAAAACTGAAATGCTTTCCCTAAAATCTTTTATCAAGTCAGCACAAGGGTACACAGTGTGACCTGGAAGAAGCCTAAACACCCAGTTTGTTCCCTAAATGTGAACACCATTGGGCTCAAGAATAAAGTACAGCACAGAAGGCAAGTCAGGTAGCACGATGCAAAATTCTCTCCTATCACAACTTTTCTTGGACTCATACATAGCCTACAATGATGAAAAGAGGATATATATATGTACCCTACCTGCCTAACAACATGATTCATTCTATATAAAATGACACCTCAAATTGAGCACCTACTCTACATATTTTAATTCTTTCACTAACTTGACAGCTATCTTTTGAAATAAAAGCTCCCATAAACCAGCATATTGTGTGTGTGTGTGTGTGTTCGTGTGTGTGTGTGTGTGTTTGTGAAGGTGCATAAAGTAACAAGGAATATTTCAGTATATAAATCATAATAAGAGCATACATTTGATAAACCTGCACCCCACCATGATGTCTTCAGAAGACATGAGAAGTTCAACTACTAAGCCCTCTTCTTTTTATTCACAGGAACATCTTTTTGAAATTGTTCTCAATTTATAGAAATGATTATGTAGTCCAACTGTTATGTTGTTTGAAATTCAAATATTTTGTTTCCAAAGCAGCATTCATGTAACAAAATAAGCCCCAGAGAGAATGCCAATGCATGGATTCAGTCAGACCATTCACTGCCTTGCTTTTTTTCCCTCTCCTCAGCTCCTTTTGGGAGTTAAGAGGCAATTAGTGCTGTCTCTATGCACTCTGGTTAACCAAGGAAGAACTCAATTCAGAAAGCCCAACTGTTGCTCACTCATGCCAATTAAAGGACTCTGTGCTTAAATCTGCTCCAGGCCATCTTTTAGAAACGAGCCTTTGTGACCAAAATTCTCAGATGGGGAACGGCTCTGAGAATTAATTAGCACTGTTCCTAGGTACCAGCGAAGATACTGCAGTGCACTGCGCTCAGGGAAGCTCACCTGGGACTCGAAGCTATACTCAAAGTTCACATTCCCTCATCTGGTTTCTAAATTGATTCTTACAAATGGCAAGCATTGGCAGGTCAGTTTAGGCAAGGTAAAGCTTAAAGAGCAAAGAATCAAAAGTTGGGCTGTACCTTCAACTCTCAGTATACAAGGCCTTAACATTTTACTACGGGAGAGATTTGTATAACAAGGATTGCTCTTCACAGAAACAGCGATATGGAATCAGCCTCCAAGTTGTCCCTGATGCTGTGACATTTAGTAGTGATGAAAGGAAGAAAAACAGTCCTTGGGTTCCCTTTTGTGAAACCTGTTGTCACATTGTGTGTCAAATGGTTAATCTTTCTTGCCTTATGTTACCTTTTCCATCTGTGTCCTACTGTATCCTGCTCCTCACCTTCAGAAACGGGGCAAAATATTAAACTGAAGTCATAATTATCAAGTGCAATAATGCCACAGTTATAATCCATTGCATCGGCTAGAACAAAAGCATTTCCATCACAGTGTTTGTTTTCAGACACTGCCACTGCCCAATCTCATAGTCACCAAACTACAAAGGGATTATCTCCCATCAAGACTTAAACATCATTACAAATCCCCTAAAACACAGCTGATCCTGAGGTCCCTCCAGCCTACGAAGACGCTGATTCTGAGTACAAGGATGGGAATCCAAGAAACAAGTGCTGCTGTGCCTTTACTCTCACTGCCAGCTGCACTTGGAGCCCTTCTCTTCACCGTGCTGGCCTTCTTCGGTGACCCTGGCTACCTTTCCTGGCTCTCGCTGGGTCACAGGGGCCAGGCTTCACACCTCTCCTCTTCTCCATGCTTTTTCCTCATGATCATATCAGTCTCATGGCTTTGAATTCCATGCTTATACAAAGACAGCTACTGTGAGCCAGATGTGTGCATTCAATGGCCTCAGCGCTCACATTTGAAAATCAGTGAGTATCTCAAGTTTATCGAAATCAGAAATCTGACTTCCCTCCTACCCCCACCCCAAAAAAGCCTTCTCCAACCCCCATACCCAGCCCATTTGAGCTTTTTCCATGGTGAGGGCTTGACAAATATTATTTGAATAAATGAATCAAAATTCCAAGGCAATTAGCCCATTCAGAATTCAAAAAGACAGATACATTAATAGTAGCGCTACATTGCATGAAATATCCACTTCAGCCAACTATTCAAATTTCATGCGGGGGCGGGGGGTGGGGAACTACACACAATTCAAAGATTCTTGCATTAAAATAAATTTATTTTTAATTTCACTTTTCAAAATGAAATATATGTATGTATGTGTATGGATACAAACATAAAGCATCTTGCAATGAAACACTAAAGACAAGAATGATGGTGCAATACCTAAACATTGCTGCTCCTAGTTCAGCAGCACCCTTGAGGCAGCCAAGGCTATTTTATTTTGTTTATTTATTTTATTTGAAAGGCAGATATAGAGAGAGGAAGAAAGACAGAAAGAAAGATCTTCTGTCCACTGATTTAAGTGGCCACAATGCCCAGAGCTGTGCCAATCTGAAGCCAGCAGCCAGGAGCCTCTTCTGGGTCCTCCATGTGGGTGCAGGGTCCCAAGGCTTTGGGCCGTCCTCGACTACTTTTCCAGGCCAAAAGCAGGGAGCTGCATGGGAAGCAGGACCACCAGGACATGAACCAGCATCCATGTGGATTCCCACATGTGCAAGGCAACGATTTTAGCTGCTAGGCTACCATGCCAGGCACCATGGTATAGCAGGCTAAGCCTCCACTTGAAGCACCTGTATACCATAAGGACTCCAGTTAGAGTTCAGGCTGTTCCACTTCCAATCCATCTCCCTGATAATGGCCTGGGAAAGCAGCAGAGGCTGGCCCAAGGTGTTGGGGCTCTGCACCAGTGTGAGAGCCCCTGAAGAAGCTCCTGACTCCGGGCATCAGATCAGCTTGACTCTGGCTGCTGAAGCCTTCTGGGCTTATCTTTCTCTTTCTCCTTCCTTTCTCTTTCTATTTCCTTCTCTACCTAAAACTCTGCATTTCTAAATAAATCTATAAATATTTAAAAACACAGTTTGATTATTTTATCTGATAGTTCATCATCAATAAAAATACCAAGTTTAGTAGTAGGAAAATGATAGACACTATAGGAGAAAAATACAGCTTACTGATGAATTAATAATCATGTTTTCCCTTTCTACTATAAAGCCTTGCCTTTCTCACCACCCATTTCTGTCACTTGAGTGCGCAAGCTACCTTTGTAGGAATTTAAGTCAAGAACTTCATCTCAACCTGTAATTTCTTAAACCTTCTGATATTTTTCTTCTAAGACATTTTACTGTGACAGAATTTCTCAGATGAAAGCAGAGTTAAAGGTAGGTTACTACACAGAAGTCTAATTAAATATTTGAGAAAAGAGGTCTTTTGATCTTCCAGCAAGAATTCAGATTTTATTTACTCGTTTCCTTTC